TCAACGCTACCTTAGGAAATGACAATTGATGGACATTAAAATGTAAATTTATATATTAGTAAATCTAACGCAATTAAATGAATATCAATCTTCCATCGATAGCCATTTCCAAGGTACAATTAACCCTAAACCTATCCTAGCTGTTATCGAGCAGGTTATATTATTATAAACTAATTTCTAGGTACTAACATATAAAGAATAATCCACTCTAAATGGATACACAAAATAAAAAGAAAAAAGTTTTTTTTTAATTTAAAATAATAACTATAAAAGGCCGGGCACACAACATAAAACCTCTTTACTTTGGGAATGAACACTACGACACTCACAAACCAAAAAACACATACCTCCAGCTCCAGAAAAAGTTAGGCACTGATGGCATGGCTGCCGGAAAAAATGACGAAATATTACGATGAGACGGGTGGCGGGAAGAAACTTTTCCTTCCCTCTTACTCCGCCCATGTATTTTTAAATCGACAGTGGCGCCATCTGACAGCAGGATTTGGCAATTCTTGTTCCAAATCCTGCCATTTAAGTTTTTGCACCGTGATACTGATCATTGTGATTGGCATGTGATTGGTCCAGTCCGGTCGTAGCTCACGTCGTATTGTCGGTAAGCAAAATCCCTGTCCAAAAATCTTGACGATCAGCGCCATCACCCGTCATAATTGGGAAACTTTTGCTGGAACCATTTTGAATATTTCACTTACATGGCCCTGACACAATCCATAAGTAAACCGTCCTCGTCTAAAAGGCCAGTTGACGCAAGCGCGGTAATAAACTCTTATCAAACTTGTTACCGTTTTGCAGTACAGCGTTGACGCGTCTTGCTTTTGTTAGTTTGTCTATGGTCCCACCCTTTGAATAAGAAGACTAAGGAAGGAGCATATCAAAAATCTTAGGTACACCCATTACACCGCGATAGGCCTCAAATATGGCCGACTTAAATTCCGGTTTATCAGTGTCGTCTAATTTTATATAAAAAAATGTAAAACTATGAGTAGGGTAGACGTGGGGTAAACCCTTTTTTTTTTTTAAAAAAAAAAAAAAAAAAAGTAATTTAATTAAAATTGTTATAAAAATATATAATTCTAAAATAAAATAGATAAGTTTATAATAAGTATTAATTACCACAAACATCCGATACGCTACTGGAGCAGGTAAGGTCAAATTAATTAACGTATCTAAATTTTTTAACATCTAATCTTTGACAAGTAATAAATAAAAGCTAAAATGGCAGAAAAATATATAAATTAGATTAATAAGTGATCGGTTTACGAACACGTATGTATATTATATAGTCACTTACTAGCGAAAAGTTGTTCCATTATTTCACTCGATTTTTGCCGAGATCTACCGCACGCTACACCACCAACTATTTTAGAGTCTTTTTCGATAAATCGCGATAGTGTCACTGTTAATTTAAGTTCTGCCACAATTTTCATCTAGATTTACTACCTTTATACAACCAGAGTAGGTAGATCGCCGAGTAGCGACAGAAACCGTCGGCTCTTTTGATGTAGTGGGACCAAATTTACTTTCTCTCTCTTTTGACGTGTTTGACAGATAGACTACGTATTTAACTGCTCAACTTATGAAGTGGTCCTATAAACATGGTATACACTGCTCACAATTTGAAGTGGAATTAATTATAAAGTTTTATACAATCTTTTTTTACCCTTTTTTGTTTTGTTTTCCTTAATTTTCTAAAATTTTGAATGTAAAAAATATCTTAACTGCTAATAAATAATTAAAAAAAACGATTCGTTGCTTGAGGTATACTTGAAATAAGTATATAAGAGTATTTGATAAATGGCAACAGTGGCAACTTCGCTTCTTCGTATGACAGATAACCTACTTATTCCGCGCAGCCGCAAAGAAAATTGAAAATGGGAGACTGTCGCTAATCGGCGGTTTAGGTACTCTGATAACGAACCTATCAGTAGTAGAATAAATAATAAATTAACGTAAAATAATTCTGTAAAGACTGACAAATCCACAAAATTTCAAATCAAATTCAAATGTGTCAAATGAATCGTCAAACAGAACTGTCAAGGATCCCCACCCTAGAGTGCTTTTATGGCGCTTTTTCCGCCCACCATGTATGAATACATGGATAGCATTATGCTCCTTCCTAGTCTTCTTATTCAAAGGTCCTACCACATCAAAAGAGCCGACGGTTTCTGTCGCTACTCGGCGATCTAAGTACTCTGGTATCGCGTTCTTGAACAGTTCAGAGCTGCTCAACTGCGTGTAAGGAGGACAGCAGTTAACTACACAGTTAAATCAGGTAAATTACGTCTAAAAATTAACTTGTACCAAACCCTGGTCGGGGCTTTCTTGACAACTTTCCCATATTTATTCTATGGTCTATGCAGGTTCTATGGTTGTTATTTGCGAAAGTTCTTTTCAGTGTTGTTACAATAGGTACAATTGTACTATTTTGGGTACATTTGATAGTCAAGGAGTACATAGGTACAATTGCAAGAAAAAATGTACAATTCTTACTTCTCAAACCCAAACTAACCCAAACTTAAACCCACGTACATATTTTTAGACGAACGGTGATACGCGATGCGTGGATTTGAAATGCAGGTTGCTAGGAGCAGAGGCACAGAATTATACATTACTTGAAATGCTGTTCAAGCCGCACGGATGTCAAACGTAAGTTTGATATCCATGCGGTGAGTAGGAGGGGGGCTAATCACTGCGACCACGGGGGTGTCACTTGTATGGGAAAACAGGCAACAGTCAAATTTAAACGTGCCAGGACCAACGACAAAGATAGCAACATCTGCCAGGCATTGGCTTTCTTTGTCACTCACATTGCTTAAATCATGATACCGCGACCATTGTTTGTCAACAAAGAAGGCTGCCTCCCCCGGGCTGTCCTGGCAAAAGTATTTAAAAAAATTTCTTGCTTTTTTACAATTTAATTACCAAATTTGGATGTATTTAATGCGATTATTCAGTTTACTGGTAAGTCAGAAATTACACAAAAATACTTTATTCGTAAATACAAAACTAAAAATGTAAACGTATTTTGTATTTTAGATACTCTTGCAAAGACCCGCCGATGGAACTTGCCTGGCAGCGTACCTGTTTAACTAAACATGTTATTTCCTGATAATAATATCAAAACACGTAGGTACCTTAAATTTAATGATGAACAAATGATTTTGAATTATGTTTTATATTATTTAAATTACTTTCTAAAACTATTAATAGAAGATTCTTGTTTATATCGCACAGCCCGTTCAAAACTGTATTGGTCTCAAAAATTTTACAAACAAAACAATTATTAAAACATTTTTTTTTTTTTTATTTTAATCTGATTTTATACCTCAGAAGGATGCCAGTAAAATTTATTAAATCAACAATTATATTATTTGGCCGTTTATATGCAAAAAGAAAAAAAAAAAAAAAAAAAAACTTAAAATTTTCTTTTAATTCTCCTGACAATGTTCTCCATATTCTCTATTTTGAGTAAGTAAACTTTGAAACGGGATTGCGATATAATAAAATACATAATTATTTTTTTTTTCTTTTTTGTTAGTTTTATTTTTGATCATTTTATTTTTTGGTTGTTTATGCAAGTTGGCTTGGTTTATGTTTATTCAGCTTATATTTATTTGTATAAACGTTTTTTGCCCTTTGGAATGGCATTCATTGAGGCTAGATAGTGGTTTCATTAATCATTAACAGGAAATTTAAATTAGCATATATTTTTTGTCAATTAAGTGTGTGTTATCATGATACAGGTAGTTGTATCATAGTGCCTAATGCATGTTATTTACCTATTATATACTTAATGTAATGTATTATCAGTAATTAGATGATAACATACTACCTAATAATGTCCTTTTTAATAGTATGTTTATCTTTCCAATTCACTAGTTATTTGCAATGTATTTTCAAATAATTTAAGTCATTAATTGAACATCTTCTTTTTAAGGTTCCGGGATATTCTTTTTCATTGTTAAAAAAATATATACAGTTTTTAATATTATTGTAATATAAATCGCAGCTCTAAAAAATAATTGATATTGTTTAAAAAGTTATTTAAAAAAAAAAAATTTTTCTCGAAAATAATAAGTCCTTTAATAATATCATTGATTTGCTGTGTAAAGTTAATAGACATATTTTTTAATAAATTCAATATTAAGTAATAAAAACTATGTTTATTAACTTTAAACAGTAAAGCCAGTGATACTTCATAAAAATATTTTTTTAAAAAATTTTCCCCTCTTCTAAAGCCCCGCCCCTCCCAATTCCCCTCCAATTGGCTAGTATGGGCAGGCGACACCAGGTGCGTCTGTTCCATTTTTTAACATGCAGTTAGCATTTCTTTAATGTACCTATTCTCTGACTGCGACCTTAGAGATCTATGTGTCCCGATTCAAAACGTGAGTTACTGCAATTATTTCCCATTTAACCAATGCTATTCAGAGCTCTTTGTAGCTTCTGTATTGCTGTCCTCACATTTGCGAATTTCAGTTTCGAGAGCTTATGGAGGCAGTTCTGAACTTTATGACTCAATTGAATGGAGGGAGAGTATCGCGCGTTCTTGAACAGTTCCTAGAGCTGCTCAACTGCGTGAAAGGAGGACAGCATATGGTGTATAATTCCGTGAGGGTGCATCCACATTATCCCAAAAAAAGCGGATCGGCGGCGGTGTGTCGGCGTAACGACCTTGAATCGATTTCCAGCAATTCTATTGACTGAAAAATTAATCTGTCAGAAATTTTATCTGTCAAATTCCCCTGGCAAAAATTTCAGCCAATAGAATTGAAAATCGACTCAAGTTCGTTAAGCCAATACGCCGTTCCGCTGTTTCTAGAATGATGTGGATGCACCCTAACGTACCAAAATTTGGTAAAAAGGTAAATAGAGAGATCACATGACCCCACATTTTTGCACCAAAAATGTACAATCCCACTTAAAAAAGTACAATTTCGACACCATTTATAGTACAAAAATTTTTGCCCTTGTAACAACGCTGGTTCTTTTGTCTGTGGGTTCTTTGCTGTTTGTCAGTTGTTTGTGTTTATCTCTGTTATTATTTATATTTATATCTGAAAGAGGTTTTTGGTTTTCTTATTCTCGACTTTTTAAATTAGTCTATAATCTGTGTCCATAATATAATCTAATATCGTTATATTATAACGATAATATCGTATTATATACCATTATATATAAAACTTAAAGTTGTCTCAAAAGTTCATAATTATTGTATAATTATTCGTAGTACGTGTGTATATTATTTCTCTAATGATTTTAAAAAGTATTATATTTTGGAATTGTTTTTAGCTTTTATGAGTTGAAACACCATTATACTTTCCGTTTTGTGTTGTAAAACGATAATATGGAAAATAATAAAGATATTTGCAAAATTTTGCAACTTTCTGATTGCGCTATGATGTATATTTTGTCATTTTTGGATGCTACCTCTTTATTTAACTTGAGCAGGTAAGGATATAATTATTGTATTTTTGATTCCTATGACTATACCTTTTTGTTTAAGGACTTGTTTATATTTCAATAACATTGTTAAAGACCCAAAATTATGGTTATATATTGATGGTAGAAATAAACCCAATACTACAAGTAAAGTAAAATATATATGTAAGAGAGTTCATGATAAAACTACTCATTTACTCTTAAAGGCCGAGAACAGATATAATGGTAATGTTTCTCAGGATTATTTATTATCCTGGAGACGCTTTCAGCTTCTTACTGTTTTGGCATTAGAAAATCAGAGATTTGATGGTAGCAATGTAAGTTTAATAAGTAATGTAGAGGTATAACATATACATAATATATTGGCACCATATTTATGATATATTCAAGGATTCACTTTATTGATATTTGAGAAAAAAATACTGTATGATTGAAAAAATCAACTATATAGAAATGACAATTTGTGATGTCTCCTCTCACATTGATTACATTCCCTATATAATTTTACATATAAACTGACAGCGATCTTCATTTCAAAGCCATCGCTGACACTGATTTTCGATCATATGTATTTTATAAATGCTAATTATCTGATATTCTGCTGATATTTATAATATTATTTACAATAATGTTATGTCTGTAGCCTTGATAATTGAGTTTTGATTCTTGTTTTTATATAATTTATATTATTTACCTATGTATATGCCTTTATATTTTAGTTAAAATTAAATAGTTTTCCAAAATCACTGGAAGAATTAAGTCTCAAGAAAACCTATATTAAAAATGGAAAGTTTTTTTTCCAAGGATCTTTCCAAGGAATGCGGAATCTCAGAGTTGGTTTTATTTTATTTATATAAATATCATTATCCACACAGTTACATTTTAGGTTTTAGTGCTAGATCAATGTAACTGGATTGATAGTAGTTCTCTTATGTCAGTCGCTAAATATGAAAATTTAGAAATACTGTCATTAGTTAAATGTCTGAAATTGCATTTCAATATAATGCCATACCTGAGTGTGGCGAAACATGGTTTTAAAAAACTTAAACTTATAGATTCAAGGTTAAATAGTAAGTAATATGTGTTCAAAAGTTGCATATTAAAAACTCTTAAAGCTAGCTTGATTACAAAATTTTTTGATAATACTATAAACATTAAAATTTAATTAAACCAACTTTACTTTTCAGCTATCAGTAATGAGATTCTAAGGTCTTTCAACACTCATATATCAGTAGTGGCCCTGTACTGCCAAAGTATGAGATCTTATGAGCTAGATAAAGGAAGGCCTTTGCTCATGGATAAATATCATTCTTTGCGTAGTGAAAATAAGCAAATTCTTTTAGAGGTAAGTAATAAATGTTCTAAGTAATGTATACTGACCATAGACAAACTAACAAAAGCAAGACGCGTCAACGCTGTACTGCAAAACGGTAACAAGTTTGATAAGAGTTTATTACCGCGCTTGCGTCAACTGGCCTTTTAGACGAGGACGGTTTACTTATGGATTGTGTATTTTGTAGTAGCCTTTTAGACAAGGATGTTTAATTAAAAAGCGTTTATTAAAATCAAATAAATTTATTTCCATCGGTAAAATAAACAATAATTTCTGGACATAACAGATATAAAAACAAAAGTTTAATAAACGAAAACGTATTCCTCTTATTAAAATAACAAAAAAGATGATAAAAAAACAACAGTTATGGTAAACGAAATAAAAGCATTATTCTTCAAAAGGTACAAAAAAATTATTATGTATATTATAATATTAATAATAGGAACAACAAGAAACATCTTAAAAATATACAACTTTTTCAAATATAAAACATAAACTTCACATTTTCACAAGAATTTTCAAAAATATTAACATTTCGAGTCTATTATAAAATATAAAGCACAAAAATTCAAATCATAAAAAGATTAAAAAGATAAAGATTCTTATAACTTACAGTCAATTTGTAGGACCTTCGTTTTGTCTACGTTAGCGATGTAACCACAATAATATGTATAATCACAGTAATTATTATGTTCTTCATAAATGTAAAATGTATTAAATTATTTGTTTTCGTTTTGTACGCTAATAAAATAATAGTAATAACCAAACAAAACGCAAAATCAGGAATTCAATAGTTCGTTCAAGGATGGTTCAGACAAAAACGTTTTTCGTTTTATTTAGGTTAGGTTTGACGAGTGCGACTGCGCGATGATTTCTGACTCAACTGGCCAGCGCAAAAACAATAATTCGACTTCCTCAATCCTTTGAAAAGTCTTGTTTTTGTTAGTTTGTCTATGATACTGGCCTAGTCTTCAAAATCCAAGTGATGTATTTTAAAAGGTGCCCAAAATGGAGCAAATGGGTATAAAAAATATAAAAATAAATAATATAAAACTATAGCATTTGTTGCTTTGTGGGACAAACCGTATATAAATAAGAGTTGATCTTTTATTCATTGTCAATGATTAATATAATAATTATTTTTTTTTACTAAATAGACTTAAGATAAATTATTAAATGTTTCACAACTATTATTGTACTCCGTAGTCGAGTACAATTAGTATTTCGTCACTGCACTGCAAGAAAATCTACAAAATAAAATAGTTATTTTTTGTAAACACTTCTGGCGTTAAACCCAAACGGACACTACTTGTCAGAAGTTATGTTTACAGTTATACAAATTTGCCTAACAAAGAAAAGAATGCTTAACGTTTCGGAAAGTTTATCTCTTTCCGTCGTCGGAAGCAAAAAAAATACAAAGAATAAAGAAAAAAACTATTTAAAATATTTAAATTCAACTATTCGAGAACACTCCTTTTTTAAAACAGATATGTCTACAAGAAACCGTTGACGTTCTGTTAAAATGACATTATATCAAGTTAAACTTCAAAATTAACAATTACTACCTGATAACAATTACTTTATAAGGTAAAACCAAAAAGCCCATAACTTTCTGTATGATTATTTTAAAATTTTACGTATGTTATGTTTATTTATGTTATGTTCTTTAAAATCAAAGAAGCGATCGCCATACTTTATTAACATCTATACAGATGCATGAGCAATACATTTATTTTTATTAGATTGAATTAAAAAAGCCTCTTTTATTTTTCTTTTAGAGGCTATCGCTTCTTTCATTATAATTTTGGCGTTATTAAAATTTATTCTGTGTCCCATGAATGCTGACAAATCTTAGATTTGTGAAAATCTCCCAAACAACTGTAAACATAACTTCTGACAAGTAGTGTCCGTTTGGGTTTAACGTAGAAGTGTTTACAAAAAATTAGTGTTGGGAAAATTCGAATTAAATAATACGACTAATTCGATAGTAAATTAAAACTAACTAATTCGAATTATCTTTTTCGATATATCGAGATAAAAATTAGTAGTATTTTATATTATATCTGTGGTAACCGAATTACCAATGAACATAAAACATAACCTCTTATGGACAAATACGAATATTAGTAATTAGTATAGTATTATTATTAGTAGTATTCTTTCGTTCTGAACGAACTGAAAATTTTCACTTAAACTGATTTATAAAGGAATCGGCAAAGAAAGGAACGATCCGATATAGAAAAATCCAGAAATCATTGTTATTTCCTATACCACGTAGGAATAAATCAGTTTAAGTGAAAATTTTCATTTCGTTCAGAACGAAAGAATACTACTATTATCTGGTTCATTTCCATCTCACCCAAATTTCACCGAACACTAAAATTAATTTTCTTCTTTTATCTAAATAATTATTGATTGCAACTGATAAAATAAAAAGAAATACGAACCGCACGTAAACAAGGACATACTTATATCGTTTTAGAAGAAGCTTTTATTTTAGATATGAGCTTTTCAATAGGAATTGAAACAATCATAAACTCGGCACTTTTAAATTTAAAACTTTAAATTATGGTTTAATTTATTAAACGGCTTCGGCACAGTTAATAGAATACATTGAATAAAGAATTTTTTTTTTAATTGTGAAGGAATATAGGTATGGCAATGGTTCAGATTTGTTTAAAATTGCGAGCACTAGCTGGGACGAATTTATTTTTAGGTTAAATTTATAATACTACTAAATAATTCGAATTATTAATTCGATTGTGAAATATGAATTATTACTAATTATTCGATGGTAAAAATAATTCGATTATTCCCATCACTACAAAAAATAACTATTTTATTTTGTAGATTTTCTTGCAGTGCAGTGGCGAAATACCCATATAGGATTTTTTTGGAGAGATGAATCCGCCACATAGGTATAGACATTTTTTACAATTAGTAGTTTATTAAATTTAAAATAAATTAATGCTGGCGTAAATAGTTAAATATTTCTCCGAAATTGTTGTATTCCGTTTTGAATTCAAGTTATTTAAGAACTGTAAATAGTTCTTATAAGGGCTTGTGTCCGGAGACCGGATCCGCAGTATGAGGAGCTAATGAGTAAGACAAAGATATTTGACATACAAAAAAAATTCATCAAGACATAAATTAGGTCTGTAGTCCGTCCAATCAGAAAATATTATATCATAGTGACAGTTCTGTATTACTTACCACAGCAATTTTACTCTTAGAAATATATAATTCCATAATATTTAAAGTATAAAAAATAAGAAAAATATATACTGTGATAAGGTACTGTTTATTGGTGTGCCAATACATTTTTTTTTGTTTTCTACAGCGGCGGCTCGTGACCCTTGTGACTGGATAGGCGACAAAATTTTAGTTGCGTCTATTAGCCGCCCTCCCCTTAATTTACATAATACCCTAACCCAGTTTGTAAATATATGTTATCTCTGGGTTAAAAACATAGCTCAAGAATATTTAGGACAAAACTAAATTAAAAATAACAGCATTCAACATAATGACATAATGACTGACATAATGTACAAGTATATATATGTTTTTTTTCTCTATTACTATGGAGCCACTATGGAGTACATCATAGAATTTTATTTTATTTTTATTTATTTACGCAAACTTAAAAATTGGTAGTATTGAGAAAAAGAATAATTATGTTTTACATATTAAATTGATGAGTCGGTCTCTTAATAAAGAAAAGTTATTTATTATTATATCAGTAAAATCATTAGATTGTTGAAGAGCTGTGAAAAGATCTTTTTAGATTGAAAGTAAGTGTGCGAACCAATGTGCGAACACAGTGCAAGCAGGTTTGCCGCTTACCGGTAGTCGGCGATGATCTGGGTACCTATTCTTGACATCGTTCGCAACTTTGCGTATAACAGGGTGTCCCAGAAATAAGTGCAAGTATTTTAAGGGGTGGTAGATCTCGATAAAAGAAACATATTTTCACTTTATCGTTTTTCAAATAAGTCCAAAATGACGGAGTTATTTTACTTTGAAAATTTCCAAAAAAAAAATGATTTTGCTAAAATTTTGAGAATCACTGGATCTTTTCTGGATTTTCTTTCTTGTAAATTTAATCTACTACCTACCTATGTTGCCATATTAACAAGAAATTATTTTTTTTTTAATAAAAACTAAAAAATTCCAAAAAAATTTTCAAAAAATTCCGATTTTTAAAAAAAATAATTCGCGAAAAAAACCTCATAGGCGTGTTTCTGGGGTTGAACTATACTACCAGTTAAGTTAAAATACTTGCACTTATTTCTGAGACACCCTGTATATGGGTACATAGTAGCGCCGCGCCGCCTCAAATCGCGTGTTATCAAATCGGCTAGTTCACAGTGAAAGCAGGTAGGCGCCGTCAACCAGCGTTCATCGGCGTTCTCGCTTTTACCGGAACGAAAATTTATTTATTTCTGCTTTTGCACGCGCCGACGGCGCGCAGAGGTTATTAAGAACTAAAAGTTGGCCAAAATTATGTTTTATGATTTTTTTGCTTTTTTGCTAGTAATATTAATTATTAGAGGAGAGGGTGCTAATATGGAACCTCATTTTGTTTTTCCTACAAAATATTTTTTCCTTTATACCCTTTTACTCTGAAACCCTTTCCACCGATCAAATAGGGCCATTCTGTGCAAAACCAAGCAATTGGATGAGGATGCTAGAACGAGAAAGTACTTTGTATATTATATATTTGAGCGAGGATGGGTGTTATAGGGTAAAAACTATTTCCTTTAAGAATCTATTTAAATCAATGTTTTTTTTGGCAGTGGCAAATATTGGCAAGATTTTTGTACATATTCCAAAGCTGGAGACTTTAAGCATTGAACGGATACTAATTTCCATGCGGAATATTGCCGAATAGTCTTACACCTTATAAAAATGCCTCTGATTTTTTAAATATAAAACATTATAAAGAAATAAATAGAAGGAAACGTTTCAAAATAAAAATATGGCATAAAACAGGACTTGCCAGCTGGCTCTGT